GTCACCCACTCCACAACTGCCAAGACTACCAACAGTTAACGCTAGCAAGGGTTAAAATGCCAGCAGCCTCAGGGCTTGGGGAGCTGTCCTTCAGATTACAACTTAACTTCTTGATGTAAAAGCTGGATTCTCATCTTTGCCCTTCTTCCACCAGTGAGCAGTTTATTCACTGGTTGCCCACTCACGCAGCTTCTGCATTTCTCCCCCGAGGCATCTGGCACAGCTACCCCCAGAGACAAAATATCCCACCTGCTGGATCAGTCCCTGTGATCTCCTCGGGCATTTCCGAGTGAGTATACACACTTGCTAGCTGTGCCGGAGGAAAAGAGACCACAGGGACAAGCCTGAACATGCACCCCTGAGCAAACGATGAGCCAGACCGCCGTGAGTGAAGGGCCACCCATTCCCTCACCTTTCCGGTGGGGTTCCTGCCAGGCCATCACTGCAGACACACATCATGATATCCTGGGTGAAAACCAGTGCTGAAAGAAACAGCACAAACTAATTTACAACATCCCACTGACCTGGGGGTGGATCAGCTGCACCTAAGCTGTACCTAGCAGAAATCTGTCTAACCTGTTGTTACAAGCACTGGAAGATGAGGATGCTCTGCTCAGCAGGGGCGTGACACTCCTCTTCACCATCCTCACCACTAGAGCATTTTTCTGGGGTAACTGGATTACTTTTTATCATGTTTTACCCACTGTGGCCATTAAACATAAAGAATCACAGCTCCAGAGAGATACTTTGAACCTTGGGCTTTCTGACGTGCAGCACCTGTCCCCGCATCTGGTGCTCTCCTTGAGGCATTGGCCCGAGCATCCAGGATGCAGAAGCACAGTGAGATGCTGTCAGCACTAGGAAGGTTGGCTCCCTCTTTATCTGCAAGGCTTTTGGGGTCTTCTCCTTGGCCACACTTTTTCTTGCCGTTCAACCATGTGTGTGGCCCATATTGTTTCTCTACAATGCCCGTTTCCTTATCGTAAAAGGAAAGCTGGTTGGTTTGGGAAAAGGCAAATCATATCAAGCTGCACCTCATTTTTAAATTTCATGGTATTATAAATCACCTGATTGGTTGCTTTAGTCTTTTCTCAAGAATTACAGGGATGGTGATTATTTCTAATTCCCTGGCTCCACAATTCCCTGCCCCTACTTTTAACAGAAGCACTGTTTGTCCTCTTCTAGTCTTCTTTAAAAAAGGCACTAAGCTTTCTGAGCTTCTCAGTATCATCTGCCAATTTTCCTACCCATGGAGTAATTCTTCCCTTGGTTTCCCTTTTTGTTACTATCAAAAATGCCCTTAAAATGCCTTACTAGTATAAGCAAAGAATAGGAGAAGTATTTTATTTTGTGCTTTAGACTTCCTGATTTTGTCTCTGTATGCTCATGCTGAGGTTTTTCTTAACATTCATTTTTAGATATTTGACCTAGTTTCTATGTTCTGTATGCTCCCTTCTTGCACTTGAGATCATTGAAGAGCTTGTGATTTCACAGATATCTGCATTTTCTATCCTTTCTACACACTGGGATATTCTGTGATTCTGCTCCTACCGTCTTTCGTTTATTTTTTTTATTTAATGACCCATCAACTCTTTTTTTTTCCAAAGATTTGATTCCCAGAGGAATTTACCTGCTAACATCCTTTGTGTTCATTAAAGTCTGCTGCCTTCAAGTCCTTTCCTTTCAGGTTTATGTTATCTTTCCTCCATCCCCTGAGGCTTACAAATCCTGTAACACTCCCACCAATATTCTCCTCCACCTTCATGCTCCCCAGCTGTTCCTCTCCGGTGGAAGGAACTGACGCCAGGACTGCCACCTGGGAAGCTGTTTTCTGAACTGCTGCATGACAAAATGCCAGCAACACACTCACCGAGCAGGCTGTGCCCTAGTTTATCATGTTCTTCATAACTATCAGAGTAGTTAAAGACACCCCCACCCCCCCCAACCCAATCAGCCCTGGGGTTTTCTTTATGATTCTGCTAGCTGCTCCGGAAAAGAGCCTCATCTATCTGAGTTTCTTAGTTAGGGGAACGAAGATGAGTGTAAATGGATGTGATTTTTCACCGTATTATTTCCTGCTACTATTTAGAGATTAGGCCTATTGCACTCTACACTCTTTGTCTGAGAGGAAATGTCTCTATCTGCTTTTCCCTCGCCAGCTCATATTTCTCCAGCTCACTGCCTTCCGTTTCTTCCTCGTACACGCAGGCTCATGTAGACTCAGCAGAGCGTCCTAGTGGGAGGGGAGGGCAGAGCTCTGGCAGCCGCTGAACCTTCCCTGCTTGTGAGATGTGAGAGCTGCACAGAGCAGGGCCTCTTCACTGGCAAGGCTTCTCAGGGAGATTACTTCACCTTTCCAAAAAGTCACATAAATTACGCAGTAAGATTTTGCCCAAGCCATGGGCAGCCATGCAGCCATGATTTGCCTATGAGGACCACTTTATCCCCCATTTTGTTAATAGGCAGCTTTTCTTCTTGAACCCAGACAGTTTAAAATTTGGTGCTGAGACCACGCTGGATCACTCAGGTTAGTCTGATGTAATCTTGTCATCTTCATTATGAACTGACCCTACCGTCTGAAACAGAAACATCATAGCTGCGTTAAATACCAATAACATTATGCACAAATACAAAGATTAAGTCATTCTAACTTGACTTTTCGCTGCATGATCCTGTCCTCCTCATCCACATAAAAATTATTCAGCCACAAAAGGCCCTTGAGCATAACATGACATTTACAGCATCTCTGAGTATTTCTTGTTTATTTCTCATAAATTTCCTTTGGTAATAACTTAGTCACTCAGCAACACTCCACAGTATACACATACATTACATGATTATCTCATATTTTATACAACACATGTTAAAGTAATTAATTTTCCCAGGCAAATGTCATACCATTTAGTTCATCGTTAGGAGCCAAATATTTGTGCAACCGTTCGTTACAAATATATGCATAACCACAGAACACTTTAGCTCCATGGTATTTATTAAGAGTAATTTAAAGGGACACTGTCGAGGCTGTTACGGTCTCAACTTTCACATTAGCTTTTGTTCCACTTGAAATTCCCTTAAGGATTCAACCACAACTCATTTATTTATTTGTTAACTCTCCCTGCTTCAGCATTTAGCACACAAAAATAAATATGGTCTCACTGTGGTGTGGTCCAGCTAAAGTCATGCCCTAGCATGACAGAAGGGTTTCATCTCTCATTTAAAGCCTCTTTATCCTTTCCATTGACAAGACCTGGAGTTTGCCCCATCTTTAAGGCAGAACCACAGCAAATAAGAATAGGTACCTCCTTCATAAAAAGAACCAAGTTTAATCACAGGTTCAAAGTGAACTTCAAGTTAAGACATTTCTTTCTGTGCTAACATAGGTTACCTCCAAACAAACAGACAAAACCCCATCAGGAGAGCGCCTCTAATCTCAGCTGATGGGAGACAAGTTAGCCATGCAGCATCGGGACTGGTTGCCTTGAAAAATACATGGTAAGGGCATGAAACCACCTCTGAGAGACAGTGAAGTCTGCTTCTCCCATCCCCTAAATTAGGCCTTACCCAGACTCCTCACACACTGACACAAAAGCCCTTCAAAGCACGTTTAGAGAGAGGAAGAGCAGCAGTGGAGCCGTGCAGTACGAAATTGCGCTCAGAGACTCGGCAGGCTGAACCAGACGGCTCCATTCAAGCTAACAGCCCAATAAGTCCTATTCCCCGCAGACCACTTATCCTTCAGCACATTCAATCAACAGGTTTGGAACGGGGGACCTGACAGTTTTCCCACTTATTTTGGCCTTTGATGAGAAAAGCAGCAGTGAAGAAAAGAAGCAGAGCCAGAAGCGGCACAAGTGGGAGTGAGAAGGGGTAGGAGGAAGCGCACACCCAAGAAAGCAGAAGGACGGGAGACAGAAGTATTGAGAAGGCACAGCAGAGCGGCAGCAAAGATGAGAGCGACTGGGACAGTGCAGCACCTCGGTGGGACTTCTGTTGGGTTATTGTGAACAGCTACCTTTATTCAAGGAAGACGCACTCGCAGTGGAACAGGCAGAGAGAAAAGCAGGCCGGGGCGTTCAGAAGAAAGATGAGCTACGACACAAAGCGGAGTGCCAAAAAGTCTGGATTGCTAAACTTGGCGAAAAGCTGAAAGGAGATGTGATTGCTATCTGCCACTACGTTAGGAGCAGGCGTCGAACGGCAGAAGAGAGACACGTTATTCAAAGGACAATGCCAAAATAAGGACGAAAAGGATATGTTTCCCATGAATGCCTTTAGGCTGGACGTTAGAATGAAGTCCTAATCAGCAAAGGGATTAGGTTTGGGGTAAACCTCAATTCCTAATTGACTGATTTCAGTCAGTTTTGAGAAGCTGGTATTGACCAAGACTTTTGATCCATACAGATGTCCTCACTATCATTAAGACAGAGCCTGATTAATTTAAGATGCAATTTCTGTTGCAGTGCCTGCAATTGCCAAGGTGCAGGTCTCTGTGACGGAGGGGATTACTGTCCCCCCTGTTATTATTCTGGCAGACTCCACCAGTTTTGAGACCACTGCTTGGAAACCCAAAATGTACTTGCTGCTTTGATATCTTACACTGCCTTAATTTTTTCTATGGACAATGCGCTATCATATTTGAAGCAGAATGGATGAGTTCTCAAAGCAGCTTTGATGTGTCCTAGATCCTCAAAGCAGCCTGCAAGGATAGCTTGAAAGCTTTTTATTTAAAATAAGTGGCATTTCCTCCCCTCTCATTTTAATTGAAATAGATGCTGAATGCAGACCAAATTGTATTGTAAGCTTGATTGCAGAAAGCAAGTATACTTCTAAACCAGCCTTGATCAATAGCAGTTTCCGGTAATTGACAGTAATCTATCTATATATTTATTGCCATGGGAATTTTAAAAATTGTTGGGTTTTTTTTTTGTTGTTTTATCCATCAGCTGAAAAGATTAAGCTGGAAAATGGAGGATAGGAGGAGAGGGAGGAATTGATCAGTCATGCAGCCTCAACTGATGGCGTACCCTCAAGGCAACTTGCAAGACTTGGAGAAACGCCGACGGAATTTTCCTAGGCAGAAGGAAGCAGACTGGTAAGTCTGGCTGAACGGAGTCAGGGCTGGGGTTTTTGAGCGTCTTGCGGTGCCTCGTTGGCTGGATGGGAGAGCTCTGGCAATGGAAACGGAAATTCAGGCTACAGGCGAGTTACACCACTGGTGGAAAGGAGGAAAGGTGTGTATCGACACTTCTGCTGAGCCAAACCCCTCGTTTTTGTCAGCAAGGCAGTGTGAGAGCAAAAAGAGGAAAGTCAGGAAACGTTCGTGACGTGGATGGGTTCAGTCCCATTGACATCCCAAACAGGTCAGGAGTAAAGGAAGGAAAACCAAATACAGTCAGGAGGGCAATAGCTGCCTCCCTTCTTTACTGTGGCCATGAGTGCGGACCCACCGTTCTGCAGTGTCTGACAGGGTCATCAGGCGTCTGGATGCTGCAGCCGAGGCGATAGCGGCATGTCCCTGACTTTCACGGGGCTGTCTGGGGGTGGCTGCCCTTTTAGGCCGCTCCCATTAGGGAGTCACCATGCCCCCTGCCACGGGGGCTTCGTGTTCCCAGGCGATTTGTCTGCACCCTGAAAGAGACGTTATCGGGAGGGAGGAACGCGTGCTTCGCTCTTTGCGCAGGTGACGACGTAACTTGGAGGCCTGGACTGCATTTTGATGAATGGTTATGCTGCTGCCGAGTGCTGTGTTCATACTTTCCTCCTATGGGTTTTTTTTAGGGGAGTTACTTATCGTGGGCTTTTCCTACTCTTCCCAGCAACTGCTGCGCGCTGCATTAGACATGTGTCTATGGTTTAATTGCAAAAAATCTGCATTCCGCTTCTGAATTAAATTAGAGGTTTTTCTGTCAGGTTCGTTTTACTAGCGTGGCTGCATCTCAAATCAGCCCACGTAAGGAGGGTGAAGAGGAACTGAACAGATACTCCGTACTGCAGATCTCACTGAATATATGCAGCAGAGGCAACTCAAAGGTACCTACCAGGCCCAGAATACTTCTTTTTCTTGTACTTTCAGAAGTGTGGGGGACTTAGGAAAGCGGCCCCTCATATTCTCCCCAGCTTCAATGACAGGGAAGTCAGGCTGATGGATTGCAAACATCCCTGAAAAGCTCACACCTTATGTAAAGGAGCTGGGTATCAGACGAGTAGGAACTTCAAAATGCTTTAAAGAGGCATGGCAAAGAGAAACGCACCCACTGAGCTCGTTCTGTGAGTCAGCACACTTCTTCCATCAAGTTTCCAGAGGCTGATGAATTTCTGAGATGATGTGACGGGGTGGGGACAGAAGGCAGGGAAAACCAGCCTACTGCATGGCCTTCTCCCTGCCCAACGCCTCACTTCCCCAAAGGGCACGGTGGATCCAAGCAAGGCGACCCATGTGCAAACGTGTCTCATTAGGACATGCTGAACGGGAGCAATTAGCCGTGGAAAGGTTGTTCTGGCTAAGGACACCTTCCAGTGAGACCAGGCTGGATGTAACTGCTTTTCTGTTCTCCCATCCCCCGCAGCAATGCCAGGAAAAAAAAAGGTTACGGACCACGAACTGTGGACATGCATTGCCTTGCCGGGGCAGTGGGCAGCTGCAGCAATAATAATGTGCCAAGTGCCCATGTGGTACATGGCCAGCACAGGCCCGTGGCCGCAAAAATGCCCAATGTTCCCTGTGTGGGTTGTCTGGAGCACTCCACCACTGCAGCCAAAAATTATGGTCTGAGTCTTCTTTTCTGGCCACTGAAGAAGTATCTTCATCTGCTACAAGTTCATTGACTGGTGAAAACAAAATGAATGAGGTAATAAAAGACATGGGAAAACATAAGGAATCGATATTTCTAAGGCTCGTTCATCGATGGTATTGGTTGACCCACAGTGCACCGCAACGAACGGCCACGCGGGGATTTGCCCTTTTTCCCCCCAACGCTAGCTAGCTACAGGCAGGGCTGTAGCTCTCTCTCCACGTGCGCACCTGTGTCTGAGTCCTCTAATCCTGTCCTCTGTGTGATTTCTGCGACGACTGTTAGAGTGTTTGCTATTTTTCTAAGACAGGCCTAAGGAAGAAGGAATTAATCGGTAATAACTTTCCATTCTTAATTTCTGGTACCTAATTACGTGTATGCCAGAGTTCAACTTACCTTCAAGTTTTAGTGTGCTTGCATGATGATCCACACAGGGCCACAATTCACTTTAAACTAGGCAGCCTGGGAACAACCTAATTTGGGACAGCCTGTAAAACCAGTCCCAGAAAGAAGATGAAGTAACACGTATGATGGAAGCAGAGATGTGTCTTCACAGTGAAGTGACACTAAATTATGCTGATTTTAGTCAAACTTTCCCGGACTCCTTTCCAAAGTTTCCTATGCTAATGTGACACAACTAGGAAGTGGAAGACCTGGTCTTCCCCTCAGACAAATGGACTACCAAGAGCCTGAAGCCAACAGCATTTGGTCAGAGTACAAACCAGTATTTTTTTTTTAAATTAAGCCTTTTCTGGAAAGTATTGTGTTGCTCAGTTTACAATTTGAATACCCCTACTGGTTTCAAGTTTGCTAGCGAAACTCAGTCGCAATACAAAGAGACTAGAATCTCTGCCTTTTTATCACAAACCCAGAATTTTCCATGTTTTTCCCAGCTTTAGCTTCCCTCCTGCTTTCTTCCTCCTTTGAACTGTACAACTAATGCAGTCTTGCGTACATTCACCACTATTATCCATAGAGTACTGTCAGAATATACAGTTAATTTGCTACTGCCAACTGCTTGCCTTTGTTGTCATTAACAATCTTCATTTAATAAAAAGCTTTTATCAAAAATGGTTTTCCTGTAGTACTTTTATTTTTTCCAGAAAAGGCATTAAAATTAATTTGTTTTCGCTTGGTCTGTATTCTTGAGTGAACATAGCAAAGAACAAAAAAGATAAACATGCGAGAGAAACCCCAAAGAGAAGGTAATGTAGAAAGAAACAATTCTGTTCTGAAGTAGAATATACTCTTTTTTCCCCCCGCCCCCCACTTTTGAAAGCAAAAAAAATGATTGAAGACTGGTAGAAAATACCACATTGCAACTGTGCTTTTGGTGTACAAGGAAGACGCTCCCCTTCTCCACAGCCTCCCCACAGCTTCTTTACTGGGTGAGGCAGGAGGTAATCCCATGCAGAAAGATTTGGCCTGAAGGTTAGGGACGATTCATGGGATTTTCTGCTGGAAATGCATTGGACTCTCTACTGATGCCATGCCTTTCACCAACCTTCCTAAAGAAGCGCTGCCGTTTCCCTTGCATGTTTTTCGCATACAGCCTCTGCCATTACTGCCTGAAACCTTGGAGCAACAGTTTATTATCAATATTAGAAGAGCATTAAGACCTTTCAACCACCCCGCTATGCAATGAGTCACAAAAACTAAACAGGAGCTACCAACTGGGGAGGACAAACGAAGTGAAAAGAGACACGGACTCTTCACTATTGTGTTTTGACAATGGTTACTACCCCAAATGAGAAGCTGTGCCATTAGAGCTGCAAGGGGCCTATCGGCATTCTGCCCAAAACTGCAGCCAGGGTGGTTTGCTACACTCGGAGAGAGACAACGGTACACATGCATTATCAAACGCATTGGCTCCACTTTCTGAAGATCCTTGCTCTCTAACGACAGCTGCCAAAACTGTGTTTCATGAGGATGTCAGCTGTCCCCTGTGCAACGTTCATCAGGTACATAAAGACATATTGAAAGGGCATCGGGGGATCACACGAACAACGTGCAAAGAACAACAGGCGATGCTGAAGAGCTCCACTGCTCAAGCACGGCAGTGTCGTGTGCCCTGCAATGACCCTTTCAGAATTTGCACAGCTTGCTTTCCTTCCCTCCTTCCCCTTCCCTTCCCTGTTTCAAACTTTCGGCAAAAAAATAAAAAAAAAAAAAAAAGAATTTTCACTGAAATTACAGTTTTTGAAATCAGAACATCTTGGCCAAATACCAATTCAGAGAGCGACTGCTGCACAGGTGCTCCATGGGAGCTGCGCGGGGAGCACCTCCTAGGCTCATTCAGGCTGAGCACATGGCCCACGCTGTTCCACCAGCCTCTGTTTTAGGGAGGAGAGATGCTACGTTATGGGAATTTCACGGTCTGATGCATCATAAGAGTATGAAATATGGCAGGGGAGATCCATTCCATCTATGAGAGTAAGGACATTAAGTAACTGAAGTACGGCTCCTCTGAGACAGCGTGATGGCACACCAGAGTTGAAATACTTGGGTTTCAGCTAGCTATTTTACCCGCAAACTCATTTTTCTGTAAAAAGCAGTTCTAATTAAAAAAATATATTCACGAACCGCTTTATATAAAATGGAGGAACATAATGTAGCACGGTTGCTGTTCTTTGGAATAGGCTTTGGAGGCGATCTGGAGCGCATCCTCCCATATTAACAAGGAAAATGTTACTTCCATTAAGGAAAGAAACAACCCTTCCCCCCAAGCCATCCGTGAGAAACTCCCGGCGTATTTGCTATTTGAAATTTAAATCTGAGCGTAATACCACCCAGTGTATGAAATGAATGCGATTAAAACGACGGTTCCTTTTATTTTCAATTAAAACACGTTTTTAAATGTTTACCTTTCTGCACTAAATGCAAATGCAGGTGCATAAACACAGCACTGGGAAACCAGAAAGCGGAAACCCACTGGCCTAGTTTCACCATCCCGGTGGACTACAATGAAAACCAAAACAAACAAAAAGATGTAAAAGCATCCCACCCCCCACTCCCCCAAGCCCGCCAGGGCCCCCCCAAGTCAAATGTGCCACACAAAAGTCACAAAACGAGGAACACTGAAAGTTAATTCATGCAAAAACCAGCAAACGCGGTGGGATTTGCCCCTGTCCACGACCCTGGTGGTCCCAGAGGTATTTTTTGGGGGAAAGCACCTTCAGAGGGGGGTTTCTGAGCCCCAACAGGCGGGAGGGAGGGGACTACACAAAGCTCTGGGCCTGTGGTGAATTTCGAGAGCTTCGTGAAGAAGACGGCAGGGAATTCTGAAAAATTAAACAAATGA